TAAAATAACCTTTAGGATCGCAACCCTATTATTTAGAACAGACCTATATTTTACAGAACAAACCAAGAATTATTATTAACTTTCTTTACAGTAACACCATGGAAACTAGATTAGCAGATTCTTGTAATCACCCTCATGCAATCCGTACAGCCGTACCAAGCATCATTATTTATGCTAATTGCTTAAACAAATATCACGTGATGCTAAACGTTCTTTAATTAGGATAATTTTATAAAAATTATTAAAAGTGTGCTGAAAAGTTGATAATGAATAAGAAATAATAACCGTCCACCGTATGATTCTTTTGAAAACTTGAGCTAGAAACTTCTAATTTAGATTTCTTGGTCTAACCAATACTTATGCTGCACGTGCTTTCACCTTATTGTTTTGCTGCTCTAAATCAGCCGTCTTTAATCCGAATGAAAAAAACTAAAAACGGTCCACTTTTAGTCGTAGGTGAAGCTGTAGTAAAAATGTTAGACTGATACTTCACGTGACTTTTTGCGTAGAAGTACGCAAAAACTTTCTTCAAATTTAATCGGATTTTGTTGAATAACTTTGCATATGTGGCGTATATTTATACCAAATAAAGATCCTAATTATAGGTTGTAAAGATCTATCAGTGTACTAAATTTGAAAAATAGCCATAAAAATTAAGTATGTTTTTCTATCAAGTAAAGTTTCATTACTTTTGACGCGAAAAAAAAAAAGAGGAAGAAACTCAATCAAAATTGGAAATGTTATATCTCAGGTATTTCTTGATGGATTGGTATGTGCAGTAAAAGTCCAGTATAGCACATCCACTACAAATATGCGATAGTTTGGATTACCACAGTCCGAGATACAGAAGGTGGAATATCTCTAAACTCCTGCTGATAACACACAGTGTGACCTGCAGGTTGTTTTGACCACAAGGCACACTACTGGTATCTTGATCATACAGAATTATTGATCACATTTTGGGTGTTTTAATAGTGTTATGTGTAGTTAACACACAGTATTCTGATCACATTTTGGGTGTTTTAATAGTGTTATGTATAGTTATCACACAGTATTATTGATCACATTTTGGGTGTTTTAATAGTGTTATGTGTAGTTAACACACAGTATTCTGATCACATTTTGGGTGTTTTAATAGTGTTATGTATAGTTATCACACAGTATTGTTGATCACATTTTTGGTGTTTTAATAGTGTTATATATAGTTATCACACAGTATTGTTGATCACATTTTTGGTGTTTTAATAGTGTTATATATAGTTATCACACAGTATTGTTGATCACATTTTGGGTGTTTTTAAAATGTTATATATATTTATCACACAGTATTGTTGATCACATTTTTGGTGTTTTAATAGTGTTATATATAGTTATCACACAGTATTGTTGATCACATTTTGGGTGCTTTTATAGTGTTATATATATTTATCGCACAGTATTCTGATCACATTTTGGGTGTTTTAATAGTGTTATGTATAGTTATCACACAGTATTGTTGATCACATTTTTGGTGTTTTAATGGTGTTATATATAGTTATCACACAGTATTGTTGATCACATTCTGGGTGTTTTAATAGTGTTGTATATAGTAATCACACAGTATTGTTGATCACATTTTGGGTGTTTTAATAGAGTTATGTATAGTTATCACACAGTATTGTTGATCACATTTTGAGTGTTTTAATAGTGTTATGTATATTTATCACACAGTATTGTTGATCACATTTTGGATGTTTTAATAGTGTTATGTATATTTATCACACATTATTGTTGATCACATTTTTGAGTGTTTTAATAGTGTTATGTATATTTATCACACAGTATTGTTGATCACATTTTGGATGTTTTAATAGTGTTATGTATATTTATCACACAGTATTGTTGATCACATTTTTGAGTGTTTTAATAGTGTTATGTATATTTATCACACAGTATTGTTGATCACATTCTGGGTGTTTTAATAGTGTTGTATATAGTAATCACACAGTATTGTTGATCACATTTTGGGTGTTTTAATAGAGTTATGTATAGTTATCACACAGTATTGTTGATCACATTTTGAGTGTTTTAAAAGTTTTATGTAGAGTTATCACACAGTATTTTTGATCACATTTTGAGTGTTTTAATAGTGTTATATATAGTTATCATACAGTATTGTTGATCACATTTTGGGTGTTTTAATAGTGTTATATATAGTTATCATACAGTATTGTTGATCACATTTTGAGTGTTTTAAAAGTGTTACATGTAGTTATCACACAGTATTATTGATCACATTTTGAGTGTTTTAAAAGTGTTATGTATATTTATCATACTGTATTGTTGATCACATTTGGGGTATTTTAATAGTGTTATGTATAGTTATCACAGAGTATTGTTCATCACATTTTGTAAACACCATAATAAATAACAAATTAAGTATTAACTACAAGACATTAAGATAGAGACATACGTAACATAAGCTCAGGAAATACTTGATACTACTTTGGAACTTCAAATAATTTTATAATGTTAAAATATTTGATGGATAAAACAAAATATACTTTGTTTGATAAACATGAAACATACACATTCAGATTTGTGGTTATGAAACAAATGAAACGACGAAAAACACACGAACATTATTAGGTATTTTCACCTGATATTTTGAAAATATAAAATTAATTGACATTTCATACGTCAGTAACATAAAACTTATTTTTTTGTTAATATTGATTATGCTGCTGGAATGATGAACATTTAGAGAAGACAGAAGTGGTTCTGTGGTTTCGCTAAAAATCATCTTACTGAAAATATTAAGTTCTTGATATTTCCTATATACGGACATTTAAATAATTTACATCGTACCATTTGAAAATCTTAAGAATGAATAAGTAATGAACAACAGTAACATTACATGGACCTAAGTAATGAACAACAATAACATTACATGGACCTAAGTAATGAACGACAATAATATTACATGGACCAAAGTAATGAACAACAATAACATTACATGGACCTAAGTAATGAGCAACAATAACATTATATGCACCTAAGTAATGAACAACAATAACATTATATGGACCTAACAAATGAACAACAATAACATTATGTGGACCTAACTAATGAACAACAATAACATTACATGGACCTAAGTAATGAACAACAATAACATTATATGGACCTAAGTAATGAACAACAATAACATTATGTGGACCTAAGTAATGAACAACAATAACATTACATGGACCTAAGTAATGAACAACAATAACATTACATGGACCAAAGTAATGAACAACAATAACATTAAAAGAGTAGCAGTAACATTACATGGACCTAAGAAATGAACAACAATAACATTACATGAACCTAAGAAAAGAGCAGCAGTAACATTATATGAACCTTAGAAATGAACAACAATAACATTACATGGACCTAAAAAATTAACAACAATAACATTATGTGGACATAACAAATGAACAACAATAACATAATATGGGCCTAAGAAATGAACAACAATAACATTACATGGACCAAAGAAATGAACAACAATAACATTTCATGGACCTAAGAAATGAACAACAATAACATTACATGGACCAAAGAAATGAACAACAATAACATTACATGGACCTAAGAAAAGAGCAGCAGTAACATTATATGGACCTAAGAAATGAACAACAACAACATTATATGGACCTAAGAAATGAACAACAATAACATTATGTAGACCTAAGAAATGAACAATAATAACATTAAGTGTACCTAAGAAATGAACAACAATAACATTATATGGGTCTAAGAAATGAACAACAATAACATTATATGGGTCTAAGAAATGAACAACAATAACATTATGTGGACCTAAGAAATGAACAACAATAACATTATATGGGTCTAAGAAATGAACAACACTAACATTATATGGGTCTAAGAAATGAACAACACTAACATTATATGGGTCTAAGAAATGAACAACAATAACATTATATGGGTCTAAGAAATGAACAACACTAACATTATATGGGTCTAAGAAATGAACAACAATAACATTATGTGGACCTAACAAATGAACAACAATAACATTATATGGGCCTAAGAAATGAACAACAATAACATTATGTGGACCTAAGAAATGAACAACAATAACATTATGTGGACTTAACAAATGAACAATAATAACATTATGTGGACCTAAGAAATGAACAACAATAACATTATGTGGACTTAACAAATGAACAACAATAACATTATGTGAACCTAAGAAATAAACAACAATAACATTATGTGGACCTAAGAAATGAACAACAATAACATTATGTGGACCTAAGAAATGAACAACAATAACATTATGTGGACATAAGAAATGAACAACAATAACATTATGTGGACATAAGAAATGAACAACAATAATATTATATGGACCTAAGTAATGAACAAATGAACAACAATAACATTATGTGAACCTAAAAAATGAACAACAATAACATTATGTGGACCTAAGAAATGAACAACAATAACATTATATGGACATAAGTAATGAACAACAATAACATTATGTGGACATAAGTAATGAACAACAATAATATTATATGGACCTAAGAAATGAACAACAATAACATTATATGGATATAAGAAATGAACAACAAAAATATTATATTATGTCCATATAATATTATTGTTGTTCATTTCTTATGTCCATATAATATTATTGTTGTTCATTTCTTATGTCCAGTAATGAACAACAATAACATTATGTGGACCTAAGTAATGAACAACAATAACATTATATGGACATAAGAAATGAACAACAATAACATTATATGGACATACTGTTTTGAGAAAGTCATATTCCAGTTTATTATTTCACGAATTTGAAAGAGCTTCAATAATTTGTAATGTAATGCTTGTGTAAAGTCAAGGTTTTGCGAATTGTGATCTGTTATTGCAAAACCACGATGAAAACGGCTTTATTCGTACTAATCTTATTACTTTAAAATAACCTTAAGTTACGATAAACAAAAAGAGTATTTTATGTTACTCACCAATCAGAAAAGAGGAATTCCCCTGTAGAAAATACGTCACTTTCTTCCATGGTAATTAGAAAGAAGAAGACGGCTAAAGCTGTCACGTTGATAACAAATTTAAGGAGGAAATGTAGCCGCAGAAAGGTGGAGGTAGCAGTCATGGCTAAAACTGCACAGTAAGTGTAGTACTATTGACAGACAGAACATATAATTAGTTGTCGTAAAACAAACTTTAAAGTATTTTTATTCATGTCAAAATGCTGATATTTGATTTGATTTATTCAGACGAAAATCTTTATTGACATATTTCTATATATCTGAGTCTTATTCGGTACATACTAAATAGCGTCCTCTTGCGATGAAATATAAAAAAAGATATTTGCAAGATAAAATAATATAATTGTAAATCATTTAGCTGTAACATCTCTTACTTAATAAATATATATAAAAAATAGCACCATAGGTCTGTTATAATTTGTGTGTGTACACTATGATTGGTTGATAACAATGTGTGTGTACACTATCATTGGTCTCTTAGAATGTGTGTGTACACTATAATTGGTTGATCACAATGTGTGTGTGCACTATCATTGGTCTCTTATTATGTGTGAGAGTACACTATCATTGGTTTATTATAATGTGTGCGTTCACAATCACAGGTCGGTAATAATTTGTGTGTACACTATCATTGGTTGATAACAATGTGTGTATATACTATCATTGGGCTATTATAATATATGTATTCACCATCATTGGTATATTATAATGTGTGTACACTATCATTGGTATATTATAATGTGTGCGTGTACACTATCATTGGTCTGTTATAATATATGTGTACACTATCATTGGTATATTATAATATGTGTGTACACTATCATTGGTCTGTTATAATGTATGTGTACACTATCATTGGGCTATTATAATATATGTGTACACTATTATTGGTATATTATAATGTGTGTGTGTACACTATCATTGGTCTGTTATATTGTGTGTGTACACTATCATTGGTCTGTTATAAAATGTGTCACACTATCATTGGTCTGTTATAATGTGTGTGTGTACACTATCAATGGTCTATTATAATGTGTGTGTACACTATCTTTGGTATGTTATAATGTGTGTGTACACTATCATTGATCTATTATAATGTGTGTGTACACTATCAATGGTCTATTATAATGTGTGTGTACACTATCTTTGTACAGATATATTATAATAGACCATTGATACTGTACACATATATTATAATAGCCTAATGATAGTGTACACACACACATTATAACATACCACTATCTTTGGTATGTTATAATGTGTGTGTACACTATCATTGGCTATTATAATGTGTGTGTACACTATCATTGGTATGTTACACTTCTGTGTTCGTTTGTAAATTTTCTGTAAAAATTCTTTCCGAAGAAACTTTAGCGATACAAGTCCTTTCTTAAATAAAACTAGTTTATTCTTTCTCAATACAACTTTACAATACTCTTAATTTCCACAATCATGCTATAACTTAAACAAACGCTATAATTCACAACGAACGATTCACGCGCTTAACTCAATTGTCCGTCTCTATCTCTGTCTGCAATTCAATTCCATTGTTGCCGTCACTTCTCACCGGTCTTATATATACAAAAAGCATACATCTCGTTTCTTCTTGACTCTTCTAGAATATCATAACAGTATGTTATAATGTGTGTGTACATTATTATTGGTCTATTATAATGTGTATGTACACTATCATTGGTATATTATAATGTGTGTGTACATTATCATTGGTCTGTTATAATATATGTGTACACTATTATTGGTATATTATAATGTGTATGTACACTATTATTGGTATATTATAATGTGTGTGTACATTATCATTGGGCTATTATAGTATATGGCCCGGCATGGCCAGGTGGATAAGGCGCTACGACTCACAATCTGAGGGTCGCGGGTTCAATCCGCATCCCACCAAACATGACTCGCCCTTTCAG